TTGTCTTTTTCCATGTCCGGCAACGGATCGCAACCCTCAGTATCGCCCCCGTACCGGACCAGGACCGGCCACGGGATCGCAACCCTCGGTGCTGCTCCCGCGCCTCGCTCAGCCAGTGAGTGGGAACCGGTCTGCATGTGGGATCCGAACCCTCGGGCGGGAGCGCCGCCGCGCTTCCCAAGCGGCGCACTATCCAGTGCGCCACCGGGCCGGCCCTTCCATGAACTTTTTGAAGACCCCTCATGGCATATGTCCAATATTATAAATTTCTGTTTAATGAAAATGTCAGTTTTACACGATTAAAATGACTGATTAATAATACACATTAATAATGTTTATGAAATTTTTAATAAAACTATAACTGAGCTTTCATACTACAAGTCATTACTAATACAGAAAAGATCAAATACTGTTACACAAATAATTTTTACAATAAAATTGTTCCCATAAGCTTCCTTTTAGACCTTCTTGCATAAAATGACTCTTCTCCATTCTTAAAGGGATAATTTAATATATAAAGTCCACATCCATATTAAGATAACCATTCCTTCCAAGTAACTCTCCCCTACTTTCTCTAAGCCATGCACTCAGCTCCAATGAGCCTGCAATTAACTAATCCTCACATGTACATGTCTTTTTTGAAGTCTTATCTTAAAAAAAAAAAAGAAAAGAAAAGAAAAAAGAGGCAGCAAGTTTCATAGATAGTGAGAATTGAATCCTGATCTCATCAGTTTTCAGTTAACTCCCCTCAATAAAGTAAAAATCTATTCTTAAATTTGGGGACATACTTGAAAAGGAAAAAGCCACATTGACAAGAGCCCAGAGATCATGAAGAAACAATTCTTACTCCTTCCTTGTCCTCCTTCCCACCTCTCCCTCTTTCTCTCGTTCTTCCTTCCTATTTTCTTCCTCTGCCACTCAATATTAGGTAATATGGGCATGATTACATAAGAAGTAACTTCCAAAGCCAGAATTTAAAGGGGGATATACCCAGACTCCAAAACCCTTGTGGGTTTTTTTGTTTTGTTTTTTTTTTAAAGAAGACTGGTAAGGGGATCTTAACCCTTGACTCGGTGTTGTCAACACCACACTCTCCCATGTGAGCTAACCGGCCATTCCTATACAGGGATCCGAACCTGTGGCCTTGGTGCTATCAGCACCACACTCTCCCAAGTGAGCCACGCACTAGCCCCCAAAACCCTTGCTTTTAACAACTACAGTATTTCACTAAATCTGAAATGTTTCACTACAAAAAAAACAGAAAAACAAAAAACATACACACACTACCAATTATAAGATGCCATTTACTATAAGGCACATCTATTTCCAAAGATACTAAAATATTTTTTCAAATGTACATAGTGGAATTGATAAAATGGTATGCTACACTGCCTCCCTTTCACTGATCTCCAGACTCCCAATCTGTAGGAAATATAGTTTTGTTTAATTAAGAATTAGGCATTTGCCTACTATCCACAATCATAACTAAGTATCCAGGCTTGACCTTTGTTAACCATCAGGATTCCCTAGCTCCTGAGCACCTGACCTAGATCGTCCTACCTAGCCAGGCCCTGCTGCTATCCAAGTCCCAGACCAACAAGGACCACCCGCATTATGACTGTAGACTACTCACGAAGAGTATAGTTTGTTGCTATTTGAGTTAGTTTTGTCAAAGTTTGATTCTTTAACTCACCCCATTTCTCAATGTGACTCTTGCGTATACAGGGATATCACAACCTGCAATAAGCTAAAATGGTTTAGGGCAGTGGTTTTCAAACTGTGCTTTGGTTATCCAAAAATGTATGTCCCCAAGCCCACTACCACCACATCAATCAAGATGGTTAAGCTTCTATATTTTATATTATAGGCATCTTGAAAACCACTACCTCAAGGAATAGAGAAGGCACTTGAAGAAAAGGTCAAGCAGGACATACAGCCTCAAGACAACTGACCATGCTGCTGTGAATACCTTCACTCATACATCTCTGTCGTAAATACACTGAAAAAGCAATAATGATACACAGATAGATTCTTTTAAATGTCTTCAATATGCAGTACTATTCAACAATACAAATATAGAATTATTCTAGCAGAGAAAGGCACAGATTCTAAAATTAACACTCCATACTTACTTTTGTTGGCATCCATTCATCAAGTCTATTATCCAAAACTACATCATAACAGAATGCTCCAGCGATAACTGTAAATCCAACCAAAATAAAAAGCAAAGTCAAATGTGTTAGGGCAGAAAGCTACTAATTTCCAGCAACTTAGTATTTAGACCATAACATGAAGGATTAGCAATCTCTCCCAACTCTACAAATTATAAAACTTGCCATTATCCCAGCTGCTTGCCAGGGCTCTATCAAATTTCCTCTGCTCAAAAAATTAACTCACCTTTTGTTAACCCAAATAACCAATATTTTTAAGCATCCAAGATTTTTTTTAATACCATATTTTAATAACAAAAATTCATGTAAATTATCTATGATGAATAAAATACAAAAATAAGGAAGAGTCTTGCAGAGACATATAGCAGGCTAAGGCAAATGGGAAAATTAGTAATAGTGAAATAAATTCCACCTTTTGCTGCTAGAGTGGCATGTACATATACGCAAGCAATGTGAAATATATGCGTCATCTGCCAAAAGTCCAACATTGTGGTGTTACGTTCTATTGTTATGTAACAAATTACCTCAATTCCAAAATACCCACATATTAGCTCACAGTTCTGAGGTCAGAATTGTGGCACAGAATGGCTAAGTTCTTTGCTCGTGCTGAAATAAAGGTTCTGGCTGGACTGAGTTCTAGGCTCTGGGAGAAAATTCAACTCTGAACTCATTCTTGTTGGCAGAATTCACATCTTTGCTGATGTATGACTGAGAGCTCCATTTCCTTGCTGGCTGTCCACAGGAGAACACTCTCATCTCTAGGTGCCACCACTTCCCTTCACATGTGGGCCCTTCCATCTTCAAGCCAGTAATAGAGCATAAATACTTTCCACTCTTGAGATCTCTTTCTCTCTGCTAACAACTACCTGCTTTTAAAGGGCCCACGGGATTAGATCTGGCCCACCTGCATAATCTCCCTTTCTCAAAGTCAGCTGTGCTACATAACATAACCTAATCACGGAAGTAAAATTCATCACATTCACAGTCTCATGGATTAGAACGGAAAGATCTTGGGGGCCACCTTAGAATTCAGCCTACTACACTTGTACACCCCAACAATCCTACCAGGAAGATTTCCTGTGAGTGCCAAGCACGAGAAAAGCTTTCAAGAGTTATGCTGTACCTTCTGATCTTCCTGAGTCCTCAGCACTGCCAGTGCCTGTGGAATACTCTTAGCTGCCACAGCAAGCATCAGTCACCCAATGTCGTTAGGGAAGGAAGACCTCAGAGTTCCCTCGCTCATTTCCTAGAGGGAACCATGAGGAGCCTGAACCCTCACTGACTCCCCACTGACAGGTTTAGACATGGACATAACCCAGCCTCAGCTGAGGTCTGCTTACAGCTTAGAGAAGGTCTCCTTTTTCATCGATATTGTTGACCCCGTACACAATGCCCATATGAAATCTGTCCAGCCTCCAACTCTTCCAGACCAGTAATTATCTGCCTCCTATTGCCCTGGATTGTGTGTGGACAAATGGTTTAAGCCACCTTTAATCCTGGGGTTTCTGATCATTACGTGGAATGAGTTGAGAACAAAGAATTGGGCACTGCTGTTCTGAAGGGCAGGGAAGGGTTTTTGTGGGGAGTCCTGGCATTGCTTCAGAGGGGACAGCAAGGTGGTAGGGAACAGGTCTAAATCGAGGTCTGGTCTCGTTTACATTGCTCCCAAGATCTCCTTGGAGAGAGGGAAGAGCTCTGTGGGCCAGTCCTGTGGCCTGGATATCAATACTACATGTCCCCAGGGCTCAGCCTGAGCACCCCCAGTTGTTATGACAACCTCCAGGAGTTACTGCAGTAGCAGGATGGGTCTCCGTGTTACAGAGGATGTGTCACACTTCTCAACAAAGTTGAGAAGAAGCTGTCTCCAGGACCTGCTCAGTAGACCTGCCTCTAAAGTCAGTAATCAAATGTCACTGACTCTAAGATATAGTAGCCTTCCCAGGCAGAGAGGACATCCTACTAGGAAACAAGCACTAAAAAAATTGTGCTAATATAAACTGGTAACTCTGATAAATGCTTGAAGGTGGCATCATTGGTGTTATCAATTCAGATTTTTCTGGATTCTCTGCATTTCAGGACCTCTGGATCTGTCTCCTGGAGGCTCAGTAACCATTACAATCACTTCTTACTTTTCAGTGAAGGGATCCTTATCCTGTCTGCTCCTTTGCTTTTGTGCTGTTACAATTAATCTTACTGTGTCTATTTCTCCCCATTGTCACTGAGTGGGCTTGGAGTGTGAGGGCTGGAAGAGCAACTGGAATTGCTGCAATGTCAAGTGGACGTCCTTTCATCTGAACGCTGCCCTGTTCAGAGAATCATCCTCACATAGCAGCCAGAGGGACGTTTCCAAAGAAGAAACTGGAGTTCTAGGTGTGTGGTTGCCGATTGTCTTCAGGACCCAGACTTTCCTGCCCCCAGGGTCCATCTCCAGCTGAGACTACATAGGAGTCTGGTTCCATTTCAGAGATGACAGGCAAGCTCATTGTAGCTTAAAGACAAAAATTCCATGCTGGTGTTGAGGATTTGCCACCTTGATTCACTCGGACTGATATTTCAACCATGTTACCACAGGAATGAATCTCCTTTAGGAGGGTATGAAATCCCATTCATGGAAATCTAGTTTCTGAGGCTCGGAAGTCCAAAGTCTATCCAGTGGTGGCAACAGCAACCCAGGGGTCTCACATTGCAAGATGGTGGAAGCAGAGAGAGAGAGCTTCAAGATTTTTAAGGAATACTATTACTATAGAGGTTTCAAATAGTTACTAGGTATAAAAATTCCAAAACAACAAGGTATTTAATAAGTAGGTGAATGACTAAATGAACATGAAATGTTGAATTTCTTTTATAATATCTCCTAAATATCACCATTTTTGATGTTTTGTTCTCAGAATCATTTCTTGAACTTCATTCAAATACTTTTGGTGTACATATTTAAAAACAAAATTCACATAATCCTACTACACATATTGTTGTGAAATCTTAGTTTTAGCAAATTTACAGAAAGTCTGAACCCTTCCACCTCATCAAAGTGGTGTGCCTCTCCAGAATCATGGTCATTTCTGGTAAAATGGTACCACCTAAGCACAGCTCTTTCCAGCAGTACTTATATTCCCATTTCTTCCTCCTCCACACATTAAATTTTGAAATAAATGCTTAAAGTGGCAAGAAATAAACAGTGAGTCAGTGTAATTCCATGAAATTCTTATTCAAGAGAAACCCTTCGCACTAATTCTATTATGTTAACTACTGATCTCCAAAAATTACTTCATATTTCATCTTAATAGGATGAATTTTGTTACCCACAAAAATGAAATATGTATGACAGTAACTTACATTAGATAAAATTAGAAATGAACTCTATACATCAAAAGTAGGTACCAAAATATTCAAGGATTAAAAAAAGTATATATATTTATATGTGTACATTACCAGGAACTTCTGGAGCTCTGACCAAACTGACCATATATTCATCTTTGAATGCCCTCTCTATTACACAGCCCATCATCATGGCACAAGAACGCCAATAAGCCTAGAAAAAAATAATAATACAAACATAATATACACTAAGATTCATTAAAGTTTCTACAATATTAAAATTTAAGTCAACTTTTGACTTAGGAAATATTTCTCAAATATCTGTCCATTCTCAGCATGTAGCAATGTTTACTTACCATCAGGGCAAGACATTTCTTCCACCAAGCAAAAACCAGGAAAGAATGAAACACCAACTTCAAGTTGTTAGCAAGATAACAGACACTATAATAATTATCAACCAATGGACAGCTTCTCTATCTTATAGTATTTATTTTTAACCCAGGATAAAGTTAACTTAACAAACTTATGCTAAAATAAAATAAATACTTTAATATATAATTGATGACTCCTATCCTATACCTAACATCACATAATACATCACTCAAGTCCCTGATACTTATAGCAAAGCAGCCTCACCACTAACCGGGTTTTCATTTCACTAGCACATTTTGATTCATGGATATGTATGATACAGGTATTCATGCAATGACCTTATCAGAGTCATAAGGAGAAATATGCATCCTGCACCATATCTGCCCATCTTATTCCCCTTACTGCCACTACTCTAACTGGGCACTTGACTTTCATAAGCTCTTCTCCACATCTGAGGACTACAAGAGTGGTGTCACTTGGTTGTTGGTAGAAACTGCTCCATTACGTATTCTATGCAACCAAATTACACTAAAAATAAGTACAAACCCAGGCCTATGGGCACTTGACTTTCATAAGCTCTTCTCCACATCTGAGGACTACAAGAGTGGTGTCACTTGGTTGTTGGTAGAGACTGCTCCATTACGTATTCTATGCAACCAAATTACACTAAAAATAAGTACAAACCCAGGCCTTGAAGGCAAATAGCAAAATGTACTTCTTCATTTATCCTACTTAAATGTTTTTAAATGTCTGTTGAACTCCAATCAGAATGCCTACGTTCGAAACCAGGCTCCTACACTTTCTAAACCACAATCTTGATCAAGCTGCTAAATCTCTTCTTTTCTCACTTTATTCATCAGGAAAAAGGGGAGAATAGCACCTAGTCTGTAGAGTCTGCATGAAAATTAAATGAGTTAATACCTATAAATCATACAGAACAATGCCTGATACATAATACTCAGTGCTAGCTATTACTATATCATTTCTATCATTTTTCTTAACTATTTCATTTCAACAAATTTTTATTAAACATCCGCTGTATGTAAATCAAGGACTAGGTCCAATAAGGGAAATGGTCCCTATCTCCACAGAGTCTAGAAGCTAATGCATACAACAGTTCATGTTACAAGGCAAAATTAAAATACTATATCTAGAGACACTAGCCAAGTATTATGAGACCTTAGAGAAAAGGATTAATTCTGACAAGCAGAAACCTAGAAGGTTCCACAGAGCAGACAGCATTTTAACTGAACTATATAAGATAAATAAGATTTTAATGAGGAGAAAAAATTCTCAGCATTGAAGGAAGAGCATCAACAATAGCCAGAAGAACAACAGAGCATAAACCAAGTACTCTAGTGTGGCTGGAGCAAAGAGGAAGTAGAAGATGCAGTGGGAGGTGAAGCTAGAAAGGCAGACTAGGGGCAGATTATGCAGGGCCAGAAAGTTATGTGAACATTATCAGGTAGATAAGATCTTTAGGGGTAAGTGACATGATCCTTAATCGTGTCACTTAATAAAACTTTTATAGGACTACAAAGATTTTAAGTAATTTTTTTTTTTTTAAATAGGAGAGGTGGGGGGTGAGGGAGTTAAAAATGTTACTGAAATCATCCAGAGAAGATGGTCAAAGGCTGGGTTCTAGCAGTAACAGTCAGAATGGAATCACCTTCAACAGAGAGTGTGACCAATAAATGTAAGCTGATCTAAGATATGAATGTAAAAGACATGTCACACAGTTTTCTCAATCCAAAATACAGAGAAATGGATGCCACTGGTATTTTTTGAACTATGAAAATGCCTAATCTAACGAGTAAGACACTATCTAGTACAGTACAACATTTCACCTTGGCCATATTTGTACATTTTACATTCCACAGAAAATAGCTTTTAATAAAAAAGAGAAGAAAATAATTGGGGAAAAAAATTTTAAAAGAATGCAGAGACAGAAATACCTTATTCACTTCTCCTGGATCACGATCTTTGAAAGTAAGAAATTTAATTTCGCAGGATTTGGTCAAAGGTTTATACATGTCCCAAGGCTGTCCGTCCACAAGAGCTAGAATGGACTTCCTGCAGTACCACTCACTTAAATCTAGGAATTTAAAATAGATTAACAATCTAAATCTAACAAAACCCAAAGTGAAAAGTTCCATATGTAAGTGCTATGTTAAGAAATAAAACAATGGAAAAGCAAGATTCTGCAGATTATCATTTTTGGAGAAAAAAAGAACTGCATATTACATCTATAACCAACAAAAAAATAATACCCAACACACTCAAGGTATTGCTGATTACTAACAAAATTACCCAAACCATTTACAAAAATCATTAAGGAAAAATCTAGTTTGAAATTAACTTGTCAATTATCAATAAAACAATTTTCTAATAGCTACACTTAAATATATTCAGAGAACAGCTCATGGATACATTTGGACAGATGCACAAACATCTTAGAAGAAAAGAGAAAATATATTAACATACATCAACATAAATCTGTTTTCTTTGGTTTTGAGTCTCGCTCTCAAACCATCTCTTACCTCCATAACATGGACTCTTCAATTAAATACTGTAGCAACCATTTTTTAATTATTAATATGGATTCACATATAAGCCAATCAGTTCTGGTCTGTTCTGTGACCCCATAATGCAACTCGAACCATGATTAGATGTTTGGCAAGTACACAGCTACTCTCAAAAGTAGTCAAACTACGGGGCCTGAAGTATCAGCCACAACAGTATATAAGTTTTATAAAAGCAGGATCGTTTTTATTTTTGCTCACTTACCAGTATATCTAGAGCCTAGTGCCAGGCCTGGAATATAGGAGGTGCTCAATAAAAGTTTACTGACTGACTGAAGGTATGAATGACATGAAATTCTTAGGGCAGGGGTCATGCTCAGGATGGTTCAGAAGCTGCATCTCTGTGTGATGTATATAAAGATCCTCAAATGCCTGAGCTTTGTCATCTTTCTCTATAATCCTAGTGCCTATAATATAGCACAGGTTCAAAAAAATACTTGAAAACTTGGGCCAGCCCGTGGCTCACTCGGGAGAGTGCGGTGCTGATAACACCAAGGCCCCAGGTTCGGATCCCATATAGGGATGGCCGGTTGGCTCGCTGGCTGAGCATGGTGCTGACAACACCAAGTCAAGGGTTAGGATCCCCTTACCGGTCATCCTTTTAAAAAAAAAAAAAAATACTTGAAAACTAAATAAGTAATTTTCCTAAGAACTAATTCAAGTGCCAGAACAAAGGAAGATTGAGAGTGTACAATCTTTAGGCAAGCTTAAACTGGTAAAGTTTAACTACTTAAGTGAAATTATTACTGAGTTTTCCAAAAATCGAAAAAATGCAGCTAGTCATGCCTGTGCATATCTATTTGGGGGACTTTCTAAATATTACCAGTTCTATCAAAACTCTATCCAAACATTTTGATCAAAAATAATATTTAGAGGCCTTGTTCCCTTCATTTATTTCCACATCAAATCACACATGGGGCACTGTTACCTCCCTTAAAATATGAACAGAACAAATATTTTTACCCCAATCACATTCACCCCATGCACATTTCAACTCAAACATTTACCACATGTATATATAAATGTAAACAAAAATACAACACACACACAGGGGCAAGTTGCAAGCAGATAAAAGATGTAGGTTAGGCTAGAAAGAGCTAGAAAGGGAAAGGCAGCAAAAAAGCCAGTGATCTGTGGCCACAACAGTCCCTTTATCCCAAAATCCTTTAAAGAAACCCACATGGTTACTACACCCACTACATCAAGAGTCCTGTCTAGAAGGAGAAAGCACACTAGAAAGAATGCATTCAGATCTGGCCTTCTTCTGCCAGAAAAAAATTTACCACCCTAAAAATACCCAACCTGTGCACTACAGTACCAACCCTGTAATACCCATAGTACCTCCAGAGCTAAAGAGACAGTGAACACATAATAATGTGCCAGATAAAGGAGAACTTCTGGGAAGTTCAGGAAGCAATCACAGCACCTTGTCTCCTCTGCACCAGTTCTCCCCCACAGCTAGCATAAAATGATCAAAACTGTATCCTGATTCTGGTACTTACGCATGGCACAACTGTAAGGAGTTGAAATGTTTTTATTCATCACAAAGACAGTTCCAGGGTCAGTTTTCCCAACGTGTTTAACTTCAATCTTCTCAGTTCGGGGAGTTAATGACAACTGCCTGTTTTTCTCTTTATTAAAGAGGTCATTTCGCATTTCTATCAATTTGGTCGGTGACAGCTGAGAAGCTGGAGATGTTGCTATAAATCCTGTGGAGAAGTTACAACAAATATGAGGGCTGAAAAAATGAACAACATACTGCCGATTCCCCCACCCTTCTCCAGTACCACATCCTCCTATAATAAGGAAAGAATAGGAGGCAACAGAATTTTAAATGCAATTTGTTCGCCAAAAATGGGCCCAGAGATAAACTTAAAGCACTTTCTGAGGGGGCAGGTTGTCTCAGTTGGTTAGAGCGTGCCATTGATAACAACAATTTCCAGGGTTCGATCCCTACTACCGGCCAGCCCCCACCCCACCCCCCCAAAAAAAACCCAACATTGTTTTTTAATATTAATAACTAAAATAATAATACTAAAAAAACGGAAGAATACCGCAGCTGTCCTAAATCCACATCTCTACTTCAACTTTGCTCTTTCACATTAGATTTTTATTTCCCACCAATTTCCACTGTTGTATTCCAATCTGTGCTTTACAACAAGGCGCAAAAAGTAACCAAGAAGGCGAGTGAAAACTAGAGTCACTGGGAAGGTGAGCAAAGTTGTCTGTTTGAAAGGGTCTTGGGGAAGACACCAAAGCTCCAGAAGATGGAGGTCCCACACCAAAACTATCAGTATCAAGGGGAAATGCTGAGCTTATTTTCCAAACGTCCATTCAGGGAATATGAGTCTTCCAATGGGAAGACAAGGACATGTTTGCACGGGACAGGGGCTCCTTCCCAAAGGTGCCCCAAGTTCGGCCTGCGGCCCCGCGCCTGTTCTCTCCATAGCCCTCGGCCCCCAGATTCGTCCTCCCGAGCTGGAAGGGGAAAGGTAGCCACAGCGGGGACTGAGGAACCTTCCCCCTTCTTCGGCCCCGCAGGACCTCCCACCACCCGCTTGAGGTTCAATCTGGGCAGACACCACTCTCTAGGCCTCGCTCCCCGTCCCCAAGGACTCGGAAACTCACTGCAGCGGGACCCGCCGAGGGGAGGGATCCGCCCAAGCCGCAGCCCACGGACTCCCACGGCAATCGCCTCCATTGCAGCCGTAGGACGGCCGCGAGCAGGTCCTTCTCCGCTCTCCTCCCCCGGAAACTCTGAGCGCGCACCCGAGTTCCGTTGGGCAGTTCTGTTCCGGACCCGGCGACGGGCTGCGCCTCGCCGCCGGGGGGCGCGTTTGCGCCTCGCTCAGGATTAGTCGCTGAAGGTCAGGAGTCCGGAGCAGGGGCACGTCCCCGGAAAGCGGTGGGTGACCCATAGGTGTTGGCCCCCAGGCCGGTCGGCCAGTCACCTCGAGGGCTCTGCAGGGAAAAACGAATGTCCCCTTTAGAAGGGCAGAGTTCCACACGCGCCATCGCCCTCCGCTCTCAGCGGGATCGAGCCCTGCCAACCGAGCGAAGCCCTTGCTTGCCGAAAAGAACTTATTTCTGGGGAGAAATTTTGAGAAAAGATGGCTCTGTTTACTCTCGTGCCCAACCCATGACATCTTCAAGCTCGTGGTTTAACTGTTTTGCAAGGTGGGTTCTTAGGTCGACTGGAGTGAGTCTGCTCACGGGTTCTTCACTTAATTAGCCATATGGGCCTCGAAACACGTCGTTTACATTGGAGGGAATTTTGTAATCCGTAGAGCTCTTCACAAATTATCTAGGTTAGTTTATATAGTATTCATAAAGAGTATATAGAGAGCACGGTAAAAGGTATCAAGGAGCGGAATTTTTGTCTCTTGCCCATTGATGTATCCCAAGTGCTCACTCACAACAGTGCGGGGCACACAGTCTGCGCTCAGTAGGGATTTGTTGAATGAATGAAAACCCTTGCAAAAAAGAAACCCCAGCGCAGTGTCCAATCCTTTTGTCGTACCAGGAAGTTATTGTTATTTGAAGTAAGCATTCCATACGTAAAGTATGAAAATGTTTTTATTCAAAGTAGTTTAATGCGGTAGCTTTACCAAGGGGTGTAGATTTATAAATTCAGCCCGCTCTGCTCTTGAACTTGCGGTCGAAACACACTGCCACCAGGTGGAAGTGCCGCCTAAAGTACAAACGATAATGATAAGACTCCAAACCACAGTTCTACTGTCTCCTTGGCCCAGATTTTAAGATTCACAGCTGCTCGGGGGAAGTGTAAGTATCTGCACTTTTGAAATGAGAAATGTAAGTGGCGGAGCTTGGTTTTAAGCACAGTCTACATCGTACTTGGACACTTATTTAAGATCTTAATTCAAACCACGAAATGTACATATATACACATATAGGTTTGGTGTGTATGTGTGTGTATCCTTTCCTCCTTCAATTTACACACGATTCCCTTGAAAGCTTGTTTTCACCAGGCTTTTGGAGACAGTACCCATTTAACTCCATCTAGAAACAGTATAGTTGCCCTTAGAACATTTTAAAGCAACATTTAAACAAAGCTTCTAAACATAAACAAGTTTAATTATAAATGCATTGGAGGTAGGTAACTGGAGCTCACCAATATCACAGAAATGAACCTAGTTGGTACGATGTTACTACTGATAACAGCCAGCCAATGTCCAATGTGTGACAATCATAGGATTGAGTCTATGAATTCACACAACCTACCTGAGCAATAGCCATACCAATTCTCATTTTCCAGGAGAGGAAATTCAGGTTTGGAAAGCTTGAGACACCTACCTGAGATAGGTCTTGACCAAAATTTCCTCCCAAATATTTCCTTGCTCTAAATCTCCTTTCTTGCCTTTTTTATGAACCCTCTCCCCAAATCTTGGTCTCACTCTGTCAATCTCTTTCCCAAATAAAAAGAATCAGGTCTGCAGCAGCAAATACCTAACATGAGCCTGGAACATTATTGTGCCAGAAAGCAAGGAAATACTCAAAGACAGACAGACAAAATGTAATAAAAGGACACAGGATCCAGCTGGAAGGGGCTCTCACTGTCCAAATTTAGGACAGTTTAAATAACAAAAAGAATAATGATGAAGGATTATAATATTGTATCTATTAAAAAGTCATGAGTCCATAGTGATACTCAAGAATCAGTGGGGGTGGAGAGTGGAGGGCAAGTTTTCTTTATAAAAGAAAGCCAAGGGCCGGCCCGTGGCTCACTCGGGAGAGTGCGGTGCTGATAACACCAAGGCCTCGGGTTCGGATCCCATATAGGGATGGCCGGTTAGCTCGCTGGCTGAGCGTGGTGCTGACAACACCAAGTCAAGGGTTAAGATCCCCTTACCGGTCATCTTATTAAAAAAATAATAATAATAAAAAAATAAAAGAAAGCCAAATAGTAAATTTAGTAGGAATAATAGGATGGGGAAAATCACTGTTCTGCAATTGCCAGTGTAATAATTGGTACAGGAGGGAATCATTGATGGATGTTAAAACCAATGGAGCAAGTTTGTTAGGGATCAAGATGTTCACATAGCCATCAAGTACCACCTCACAAATGATTGACTACACACAAAGGAATAAAATAACCTTTTCAATCGAGAAATCTGATGGATATCACCTTAACAAAGTGGTCAAACACCATCACCCAAAATGGGACAATCTGACATTATTTGTGCTTCCTAGTTGTGATATGAACAATATTATGTAGTATTCCTAACATAAATATTTACCCCGAATCTAAAGATTTATAAAGAAATCAAATATATCTAGAAAGTAATACATTCTACAGAACTGGCCTGAACTTTTCGAAAATATAAATTTCATGAAAAGTGGACCAAAAAGGATCAGGAACTGTTTTATAGAAGACTAAAGAGACATACAATTAATAGCAATACATGATCCTTGCTTGGATCTCGGATCAGAAAGAAAATAAAAATTACAAAGGATATTCTTGTATAGAGAAATTTGAATATAAACTGTCTACTAAATAATATTGTATCAACGTTATATTTGGATATGATAATAGTATTGTGGTCATTCAGGAGAGAGTCCTTGTCCTTAGGATATATATAGAAAGAAATATTTAGGAGGGAAGTATCATTATGCCTATTGCTAACTTTCAAATGGTTCAGCAAAAATAGGAGAGTCTATATTGACAGAGGGAGCAAAAAAAAATTTAGCAAGTGTGCCAAAATGTTAACGATTGGTGAATCTAAGAGAGGGTGTTAATTGGACTACTTCAACTTTATACTGAAATTTTTTGAAATAAAAAGTTTAGGGAATAACCACAGTTGTTTTCAACTATGAAATTTTATTTTCCTCACATTGCATGTCAGTGGCAGCAGCTCCAGGCCAGCTATGGCCCAGCAACTTTATTCTAGAATCCAGGCTATAGAAACAGCCACTACTTGGTTCTTGTGCTTCTTGTGGTAGAGGGAAAGGAGCGCAATGCCTACCCCGTGCGCTGACTCCTAAAAGCTGCTACTCAGACTCGACCGGGTCTCAGCCATGCACAATCCCCTGGCCCCAGCAAGTCTCACAGCCAAGACCAGTATCGGATAGGCAAGAGGTATATGCCTCCAGCAGGAAGTCACTGAATGAGGTTATAGAATTGGTGTTCAAGGAGGAAAGCAAATCATTGCAATTAAGAATCCAATAACTCAATAATTTTCCCAGGATCACAAAGGTGAGGTGGGACTCAAACTCAGACCTGGCTGTCTCCAAAGCCTATACTTTCTTTGTTCTCAAATTTATGTTTTTTAATCTAAATATTTGATTTTTACATTTTCAAATTATATATTAACTTGGTTGGAAAATTTTAAAATATTAAAAGGTACACAGTGAAAAATTTCTCTCCTAGTTCTTTTCTCCATTCACAAGTTCTTACTAAAACCTCACACAGGATACCACTGTTAATAATTTCTTGAATATCCTTGAGAGTTCTCAATGCCTCCATCAGCTAACTCAAATATATATCCTTACTTTCTCCCTTTTTGACTTAAAATGCAACATACGTTTCTGTGTCTTGCAAAGCTGTGCTTTTAATCAGTTTGTGTTAGTTCCGGTCCTCTGAGGAACAGATGCCAGGACAGGGTTCAGTACACAAGGATTTTATTAGGGGAAATACCTGTGAGAGAAAAGGGAAAGGTAGCCAGGTAAGGCTGACTCCTCTTGAAGTAGAGAGGAAAGGAAGACTGAGTAGAAGCATTCTTGACCACTCATGCGGTCTAAAGGTTGGTCAAGGCCACTGGAGGTGGGGGGGTCCTGAGCCAAAGTCCACCATCAAAGGGGTGTCTACAGCAGTAGGCCTGCCTTGATATCCGCATCACTCTCAGTCTTTGGCTGGGAGAAGCCCATGGGAAGCAGGAAGTGTAGTGTCAGAGCAAACATGTCAATGGACTTCTAGAGCTCAGTGGCTGGGGCTCTGAGTCAATTATGCTCCCTGTAATTGGAGGTCTATGAAGCACATAAGATAAGCCATATTTCAGGAATCAAATAATTAAAGCACTTGATACACATTTTACATGTCCAACATAAAAACACACATAAACACACTTCTATCAATTATTTTATATCATTTCCACCTGAGATGGACATGCACCCTTCTGTGAAATAACGAGAGGAAAAAGCAAGGGAGACTATGGCTTTTCTTTCTATTGGTGTGTGATACCATGAGCCTAAATGGTACCTTTACTTCAGCACCATTCCTTATCACCTCCTATGTGGGCTGAGTTGGTAGTGGAGTGTGTGTGTGTGTGTGTGTGTATTGGTGGGTTTCTGGAGAAAGAAAAGGCAATTGAATATAAAGATGTGCACATAGTCTACTTCTTCAGCCATCATTTCCTCCTTAAACCATTCCTTTCTCCCTTACACCATAAGAAAATCTGATCAGTTCTATCCTAAGAATAAAGAAAAAAACAAGGGTGCAGATCACC